TCTACAGTAGAAACATATAACTTAATACAACTATTACATGTTGATGTAGACTCTTGAAAAACACACCTATGCCTCACCTTGTGTAAAATTTACCAATTTACGTTCGCCTAAGAGGGCTAGTTTAGTACCGCGACGTCAACGATTAATTAAAAAAAAAATAGAAACATGCAGTCTTATAAAGAGGAATCTTGGATAGACTTACAATGTGTCATGGTAACTTTTATCTTTTTAACTTACATAAGTTTCACATCAGAGTTCAGTTCTCAGATACTGGATGACTTATACTTCTTTAATTTGGTATGCGGATGTATGATGGGTGTGTTGGGCAGTTTCTGGTAAAAGGCATTTACCCTGACATACACTTTACGCTTCAATAACGTAGATTCAATTTCCGTCTTGCGTCCAAGTTCAGTTCTAAGATACTTAATGTTCAACAAACATACCGTAATTGTTGAAAGGATATATTAAGTGATGCACACAAGCCTCCCACACTGGCGGATCCTGATGTTTTATAACTTAAAAACCAACAAAATTGATTGATTGGTGTTTAAAGCCACTTTCAACACTATTGTGCAATTTCGTGGCGGTCAGTTTTTATTGGTGGAGGAAGCCGGAGTGCCCGGAGAGAACCACCGACCTTTGGTAATAAACTGACGATCCTAGTCAATTAAGTGTGCACCTGCCCCGTGCGGAATTCGAACTCATAAAATCGGTGTTGACAGGCTAATGATACAGTAGTTCGACTACTTAGACCACTCTGCCACCAAAGCCTCGAAAAATCAACAAAAAGTAGGCTATAACTTCCAACCATCTATTTAAACAAAATCTGGATCCGTACATGTGGTACCATGAACTAGAGGCTCTAAAGAGCCTGTGTCGCTCACCTTGGTCTATGTGCATATTAAACAAAGGACACAGATGGATTCATGACAAAATTGTGTTTTGGTGATGGTGATGTGTTTGTAGATCTTACTTTACTGAACATTCTTGCTGCTTACAATTATCTCTATCTATAATGAACTTGGCCCAGTAGTTAAAGTGGAAAATATTTTGTAAAAATTTACAAAAATTTACAAAATTTATGAAAATTGTAGAAAATTGACTATAAAGGGCAATAACTCCTTAAGGTGTCAATTGACAATTTTGGTCATTTGACTTATTTGTAGATCTTACTTTGCTGTACATTATTGCTGTTTACAGTTTATCTCTATCTATAATAATATTCAAGATAATAACCAAAAACGGCAAAATTTCCTTAAAATTACCAATTCAGGGGCAGCAACCCAACAACATGTTGCTTGATTGGTCTGAAAACTTCAGGGCAGATAGATCTTGACCTAATGAACAATTTTATCCTCGACAGAGTTGCTCTAAATGCCTTGGTTTCAGAGATATGAGCCAAAAACTGCATTTTACCCTATGTACTATTTTTTAGCCATGTCGGCCATCTTGGTTCGCGGGCGGGGTCATCGGACACATTTTTTAAACTAAATACCCTAATGATGATTGTGGACAAGTTTGGTTAAATTTGTCTTAGCAGTTTCAGAGAAGAAGATCTTTTTTTAAAAGATTACAAAAATTTACGAAAAATGGTTAAAAATTGACTATAAAGGGCAATAACTCCTTAAGGGGTCAACTGACCATTTTGGTCAAGTTGACTTATTTGTAGATCTTACTTTGCTGAACATTATTGCTGTTTACAGTTTATCTCTATCTATAATAATATTCAAGATAATAACCAAAAACGGCAAAATTTCCTTAAAATTACCAATTCAGGGGCAGTAACCCAATAACGGGTTGTCCGATTCATCTGAAAATTTCAGGGCAGATAGATCTTGACCTGATAAACAATTTTACCCCCTGTCAGATTTGCTATAAATGCTTTGGTTTCAGAGATATAAGCCAAAATATACATTTTACCCCTATGTTCTATTTTTAGCCATGGCGGCCATCTTGGTTGGTTGGCCGGGTTACCGGACACATTTTTTAAACTAGATACCCAAATGATGATTGTGGCCAAGTTTGGTTTAATTTGGCCAAGTAGTTTCAGAGGAAAGATTTTTGTAAAAGTTAACGACGACGGACGACGACGGACGACGACGGACGACGGACGCCAAGTGATGAGAAAAGCTCACCTGGCCCTTTGAGCCAGGTGAGCTAAAAACTTGATCTATGAGTTGTAGTAATAAGCATTGTGTAATAGTTTCGTAGTATTTGGTTGCGGCAAAATAAAGTTAGAGAATGGAAACCAATTTCGGGACGTACGTTTGGACGTACAGAAGTACAGACGTACATACGGACGGACGAACGTACAGACTGACAAGGGTAACACTTTAAATGCCTTTTATGACAGTTGTTTTCGATTCGTTTAATGTGTTTGGGCTTTTGATTTTGCCATTTGATAAAGGACTTTCCGATTTGAATTTTCTTTGGAGTTCGGTATTTTAGTTATTTTACTTTTTATTCATTTGACGATCAAAGTCTCATAAATATATTGAATGAAATATCAGAAAAAAAAATTAATCAACGGTGTGTTATATTCCAACAATAATGTAAAATTCCCAGTAAATCAATCCAAGCAAACTTAAGTTATGGTACAACAACTGAAAAACTTACTTAAATCTGACAATTTAGGTCCATTAACTCTTGAAGTAATAACCAGAAAAGAAAAAAAAATAATCGAAAGGGAGCTTCCTTTCATTAATCCCACAGTAATGTAAAGTTTTGAAGAAATCCATCCAGACATAGTACGCGATGTATACAAAATTGCCGTAATTCAAACGGATAAAGTATCGTTATTCTGGAACGACAAATTCAGAAAATTTCAGAATTGGAAAAAACTTTTTCATGCCAATCATAATGTTGTATTAAATTAGATGAGAATTGGTTCGCAAATTTAAGTTATCGTAAGAAGTGTGGATGGATGATCAATTGTATCGAATACTAAGTCCCGTCTTGGACGAGCGTAAAAAAACAGCATTTGTAAAATGATCTTATAATCATCACTGTATTGGTAACCATAAGTTTTGTTTTATAAGTCGATCTCTTCCACACTGAAACTAAAGAAGAAAGTTCACAAAAGTTATATAAAAAATCTACGTATTTTCGCTTATTTTATATGTTCTTGCTCTTATCCATACAAACCGTCAAACACTGTGATTAATGCATACTGATCATCGACTATATTGTCCACAGTGAAAAAAAGCGGGATTCATGCTCCTAGGGACTGTCGAGATTAGTGGTTGTGTTTTAACGAATGTCGGTTACATTCCAAGTGGTCTACTTCCATTTCGTTGGATATATTAAGTAACATTATTCCAAACACTGAACGATCAGATAATAAAAAAGGCGACGCTTTTAAGTTTCATTTCGGAGATATTTTCTATCGTAGAAAAATGTAAACTTGATACATTGTAAAAACAGTGAATCTGGCCTAAGCCGAACCATTTTAAAACCCAAAACCTGTCTTCATTGAACTCATGTGTAAGTGTAACAGTGGTTTGATTCCGCTAATGTACTTTATCTGAAGGATGAAAATTCCTAGTGTTTTATGTCCACCAACAAAAATGCACTAGGTTTTTTAATCCGGGTCTAGTGTAAATTATCCAAATCTCGCCGTAAGATTCTGAAGAGGGTTTTCCTGAAGGGGAAATATATAATATAAAATGGGGGTTGGTATTTTTGGGGGATATTTGAATTAACTAAAACTTGCATAGGTGATTTATGTAAAAATTGGACAAAAAAAAACCTGCCGTTGGTTAACCCAGGAATGTTTACACTAGTGTTTTTTTTTTTAAACCAGGATTGATTTCACTAGTAATTTTGCTCCAGGAATCATTACACTAGTCATTTTATGCAGGTAAATCCTGATAAGGCAAACAATTTAACATTCTAAGAAGGGTTTTCTTGAGGAGAAATAACAAAAAAACATGATGCTAAGATTTTTTAGGGGATGTGCTATGGATCAAAATTACTAATTATTTTCTGGATACAAAATATAATGATAATATGAATTTAACTAAAAATTAAAAAACAACATAAGAGAATTGTGTTAGCTAGTCAAGTGTAAACAAACTCAGATTGTTATATACATATGTATGATATTATGACCAACAATCGATTCATAACATGTATGATAAAACAATAAGACTTATATACAATTGATGCCATTTAACTCTTCAAATACTATTATTACATGTATTTACATAAATGACCTGTATTTTTTTGTAGACAAGTGTTTTAAAATATTCATATATACTAGACTGCCTGACTTTTTTAATACGTTTTGGCCTAGTGTTAGGTTCCAACATTTCATCCTATTCAAATCAAAATTTGTAGTTATAGCCAAAGGAAATAATAATTGACCTTCACATTCACGAGGATCCAAAAAAGTGCTTTGTGTTACAAAATGATAGTCGAGAGGAAAACGTCCCCAACTTCAATATCACTGTCGTTCCCTGTTTCGGTAGCTTTTGTATCAATATTATTGTTAACATCAATGCATTTCAACTTTCTCAATATATGCATCTTCCTTTTTAGGAATTCCAAAGCTCTCATTTCCATAAGACCTTTTCATACTTTTTTGTTTAAAAGGTTATACACATGTATACAAAACACAATTTGTTTGTATATATAACCGGTTTATAGAAAGTAAAATGTAATATAAATAAACAAATCAAAATATAGCACATCTCAATTACACTATTGACACACAATATTCCCCAGTGATTATAGGTATGTCGGAATAAATACACGCCGGAATAAAAGTACGCTTACATAAGGACATACAAATAACATTCTTTATGAACTCGACTTGTTTGAACCGAACACTTGAATTAGAATTTTAATGTGGAAAGGATACGGTTAAAACAGGTTTCATTGTTAAAAAAGACGGTTTTGTGCTACCCCAAACGTGATAGCAACTCATGATCAGCTTCATATGCATCTTAAAGTAACATACAATATACATGCGTCTTAATGAATGGCAAGCTTTTACTTACAAATCGTCGAATGTCTGGAAAAATGCACATCAATTCAGGAGAGGCGACCAAGACCATATCCCCAACAGACGTTCTCATATTGTCTCGATCTATAGAAGAACAAATGATACATTTAAAATGCACAACATTCAAACCAGAAAAAAAACCACTTTATTGAATGATTGTTTGTATTAATAACATTATGCAAAATTATGATTAAATAAATGGTACTTTGTAATACTAGATCACAAAATTGTTTGTTTTAATGTTTGTCCAATATGATAAAATTTACTTTGATTATTTTATTACACCTCAGTTTACTTTATGGGGAACAATGGTTGGTCGTACTGTATTTTCTTATTCTTTCGACGCCTCTGTTCTTTTCTTTTGGGGATTTTGTGCTATTAAATCCCTCCAAACTTATGACGATAGACATACTTGAGAGTGAAGACGAATTCCAAAGCCATTTCGAATACACATTAAATGATTTCATAACATTTCTCCTGGTTTACAAGAGGAATTCAAGAATACGAGTATTGTCAAATTATCTTAATATAATTTATTTCATTTTCCAATATTTGGTTTCGATATCAAGATACGAGAAATATTTAAATATATATATTGTGGTTATTTAAGTGATGTTATTTTGGGTTTTGTCATGCTCTTTGTGCGTTTAAAATCCGTAAAATGTCTTTTAGGGGTTTATTTTCTACCCGTTTCCATCCTGAGAATGACTGAAATATTTGCCATTGGACATCAATTGTACAACAATCAATTATTTTGGATTCATTGCTCTGAAATATTTTATACTTTTGATTTCGAATGTTTGATTTCCAGCACCAGAAAAAAATGAGTTATCGATAAGTGTATATCATGCATCAAATAAGCTTTTTAGTCTTGAAGTTTGGTCTTAATACTGATATAATTGGCAAACAAAGTACACATATGCAATATAATGTGTAAAAGTATGTGAATTAGTCCCCTGGTTTTGTGTTAGATAAGTTGAAATCATAATCATACGTTTTTGATAACGAAATGTCAACCACGTTTTTTCGAGAATATCCAGTATTCTAATATATACTATATTACTTAAACACGACAGCTGTATAATTTGTTGTACTAGATATTAATATGATACATTTTTTGCAATCCATTTTCATTACATCACATTATTATTCATGTACCATATTGCATACAACTTGAAATGATTTAAAGTTGATAAATCGATTTTATGAATCATTTTACCATTTCAAATTGTCTGATCAATAATAATTTAAGGTTCCAAAAATACATAATTAGATTATTCATATGATTAATTGATCCTTTCTCCGTATAAACAATACGACATAAGATGATTAAATGTTGAACGGGGAATAAGGCTAATTTGTTTCACAGAAGATTTAAACTAGAGGTTCTAATGAGTCTGTAACAACCACAAAAAAAAAAGAAAAAAAAAAGGAACGAACGAACGGAGAAATGCTGTTTAATCTCTTGATCTGCTTGAAAATATTTAATACAATATGTAGATATAAGAAGATGTGGTATGAGTGCCAATGAGACAACTCTCCATCCAAGTCAAAATTTATAAAAGTAAACCATTATAGGTCACAGTACGGTCTTCAACACGGAGCCTTGGCTCACACCGAACAGTAATCTATTAAGGGCCCCCAAAATTTCTAGTGTAAAACCATTCAAACGGGAAAACCAACGGTCTAATCTATATAAAAAACGAGTAACGAGAAACACTTATGAACCACATCAACAAACGACAACTACTGAACATCAGATTCCTGACTTAGGACAGGTGCAAACAAATGCAGCGGGTTTAAACGTTTTAATGGTACCAAACCTTCACCCTTTTTCTGAAACAATAGTGTAACATCACAACATAGAAAGACACACTATAAAATATCAACTGAAATAGCTGAACTCAATCAAAGGACATATTAACACCATTGAACATACACTGAACAAATAAATTTGACCTATGATACAATGTAAATACAAAATAAATAAACTAAGGTGTTAACATATCATAATTTGTTGTACTGGAAAGCGTATGACAGAGTTTGTATAAAATACATGATAACACATCATTTATATATTTATTTCTAATAAGAGGCAGCCGTTTTAACTCACTTAAGACATTCTTTACACAAAATTGATTCAATGCAACACAAAAATGTGTTTGTTTTGAATAGAAATTGTGTCAGCCCAAATCATGTCGTGCTGATCATTTATGCTGGACAATGTTATTGTCTATACATTATAATTTAAGGTTTTTACCAAAATTGAAAATATGGGTTAAAACTGTGCTTGAGGGAGCAACACTCCTATATTATAGATTCTCTCTATCTTTTATAGTTTTCAAGAGTAATAATCGAAAAGAAAAAAACATTCAAAAGAATCATCGTTTCAGGGTATTAACTCTTATAAAGAGTCATCCGACAATTTGAAGTCAAAATATACAGTATGCATATCTTGACATTCTTAACATATCTGCCTCTGTCAGATTTTCTCTATCTATAACGGTTTTCAAGAATATAGACAATACTTGCATGTTACCCCTATGTTCCATTTTAGCTTTGACGGCCATGACATCATGCGAGATCATTTGACAACTGGTATGAACTAGACACCTCAAGACCAAGTGTGGCCAAGTTCCAGTTAGTGCAGTTATTTCAAAGGAGAATATTTTCTGTTAAAATCAACAGACGAGGACGACGGACGCAAAGTGATGAGAAGAGCTCCTATTGGCCTTTTGTGCCTGGTGAGCCTAATTTTTAAAAAATATCCAATAAACAAAAGACTTAAAGGGGCATTAGCTACAAGATATAAAAAAATATAAAATATGATTTATTTTGTTCAATCATTTATGAAAGTGATATAGTGTAATAATAATTCGCTTTTAGCAGCCAGTGTGGTTCAATTTTGTCAAAACAAGCTAAGAAACATCGCTGATGAATTATTCACTTGCAAGTGAATAATTCGACCTCATTGAATCCGTATTCATGTGACCTTCAATTTAACCCCTTAGCTGGAAATGGGTTACGCATGTATTCAGAGATTAAAAGGAAAAGAATATCAACATTGAAAGAGAAACAAAGATGAACCCTTTGCTTGACTGATTCGATCCACAACAAAAATCATTCTTATACAGGTAAAAAGATATTAAACATACTGTTTAACCTACAATGAATAATCAAACAGACCTAGAAAAATCCAATTGCACGTGGTCGCTATTTGTTTATATATATATTTATGTTTATATCTGGTTATATGACCGTCGGTAGTCTTCGGAGGTCATCTCGATGGTTAATTAGATGACGTCTAGACAAAAATACACACTAAATGTTGATACATATTATCGAGTCTATGCATTGTTAATTGTTTATGTTAGACATTTTGTAATTTGGATATACCTTATAGTATGTTATAAATCAAATCAGAGAAATTCAGTCAAATTGGTGAACATGAATTTGACAGCTAAGGCCCCTTAAAACTATACAAATTTCAATAAATCAATCTTTTATTTCTTATACATACCAAACCAAATTAAAGATATCGCTGAAAATATTTAAATGTCAAAGCAGTTCGAAGGTATGCAACCAATGAAAGATGACTTTTTGTATTTATCTAATTACCTAACATTGCCTAAATTAGAATATTTAAAAGAGGAGGTATGATATGAGTTATGATTTGGCCCCTGAAATGACAAAAAAAAAGTAAAATCATTTAATAGAATAGAGAATGGAAACAGGGAAATGTGTAAAAGAGACAACAACCCGACCAAAGAACAGAAAACAGCCGAAGGCCACAAATGGATATTCAACGCAGCGAGAAAATTCAGCACCCGAAGGCTGGCTTCAGCTGGCCCCTAAACAATAATGTATACTAGTTCAACTAAATGGACGCCACACTAAACTCCGAAACATACAAAAGAACCAAAATTAAACCACACAAGACTAACAAAGGCTAGAGGTTCCTGACTTGAGACAGGCGCATAAATGCGGTGGGGTTAAACAAGTTTTGTGAGATCTCAACCCACTCCCTATACATCTAGCCAATGTAGAATAAATATACACAAAGCAAAACACATAGCAAAACTCAGTATTTAAGAATTCCGAGTCCGGTGGTAGAATAGGTAACACAAGAAAACAAGCAAAATGACAATGATAAACATAAACCAACAAAGGACTGCTAGCAGTTACTGACATTCCAGCTACAAACTTCAATTAAACTGATTGAATGATTGTGTCTTCATCATATGAAAATTAAGCACAATCCCTTCCGTTAGGCTTTAGTATCATACTATCATGAATTAAACGAGAAGAACATAACCAACTGTATGATGCCAACATCTGGTTTTAAAATAAATGTGTTTATTTCCGATGCAAAGACCATATGAGTGAATCAATATTAATTAAAACAAAAAAATGCCATCTTTAATGACTTATATCGTAACTATATCCCTTGTGAATAAGTCTGTTTTTAAAGATTTGGTTATCTTTTGATGTGCATGACGACATTTTTGTGTTTTGTATAGAATTTTCCCATAAACGATGGGATGTGAAATACCTGGACGTATAGGATGTCTGCACGTTGATTTATATTTACGAATGATGTCCTTGTAGCAATGATAAAATTTAGTAAATGTTTTGACAAGTTTGTGCTATCGAAAACCCTGGTGTAATAATTTTTCAGTAATACAGAGATTTCTTTCGTTAAAATCAAATACGTTGTTACATACACGAGCGAATGGAAGAAGTTGAGATATATAAACACCATACGATGGTGCCAAGCAATTCAGCATTTAAAAACGAATAATTGATAATAGGAAATGAAAAATCTTATCTTTTATCGTAAACTTTACCTTTAAGCTTCCCGTTAAAGATATAGATATCAATATCCAGGAAAGTGCAGTGTTCATTGTAAGACTTTCAATAGATATAAGAAGATGTTTTATGAGTGCCAATGAGACAACTCTCCATCCAAGTCACAATTTATAAAAGTTAACCATTATAGGTCAAAGTACGGTCTTCAACACGGGGCCTTGGCTCACACCGCAAAGCAAGCTTTAAAGGGCCCCAAAAATTACTAGAGTAAAACC